GTGGACGTGGCCTACCGGCGCGGCTACTTTGATCAGATGTTGAACTTGATCCTATTGGACCCTTCTGATGACACCAAAGGCTTCTTCGACCCCAACACACACGAGAACCTCACGTACCTGCAGCTTCTGGAGCGCTGCGTGCGCGACCCCGAGACAGGCCTGTACCTCCTGCCACTCAGCGGCGTGCAGTCCCCGCTGGTGGATGGTGCCACCCGGCAGGCCTTCCAGAACCTGCTGCTCTCCGTGAAGTACGGGCGGTTTCGGGGGCAGAGGGTCTCTGCGTGGGAGCTGGTCAACTCTGAGTACTTCAGCGAGGGCCGCAGGAGGCAGCTGCTGCGTGGCTACCGGCGGCGTGAGGTCACACTGGGGCAGGTAGCACGGCTGCTGGAGGCGGAGACGCAGAGACAGGCGGACGTCATGCTGCCCGCGCTGCGGGGCCAGGTCACCATCCACCAGCTCCTGGAGGCCCATATCATTGACAAGCACCTGTTGGACCAAGTGCTGGCCAGGACAGTCAGCCCCGAGGCACTCCTACTCATGGATGGTGTCCGCAGGTACCTGTGCGGCCTGGGAGCTGTGGGTGGCGTGCGGCTGCTGCCCTCCGGCCAGCGGCTTAGCCTCTATCAGGCCATGAGGCGGAAGCTGCTGGGGCCCAGTGTGGCCCTGGCCCTGCTGGAGGCTCAGGCAGCCACCGGAGCCATCGTGGACCCTCACAGCCTGGAGAGCCTCTCGGTGGACGAGGCCGTGCGCAGGGGTGTGGTGGGGCCGGAGCTGTATGGCAGGCTGAAGCGGGCTGAGGGTGCCATCACTGGCTTCAGAGACCCCTTCTCTGGGAAGCAGGTGTCTCTGTTCCAGGCCATGAAGAAAGGTCTCATCTCTTGGGAGCAAGCTGCCCGCCTCCTGGAGGCTCAGGTGGCCACGGGAGGGGTCATTGACCCCACTGGCCACCACCACCTCCCCATGCCAGTGGCCATTCAGCGTGGCTGTGTTGACCAGGAGATGGAGACAGCCTTGTCCAGCTCCTCCGAGACCTTCCCCACACCAGACGGCCAGGGGCGCACCAGCTATGCCCGGCTCCTGGAGCAGTGCCCCAGGGATGAGGCTTCTGGCCTTCACCTCCTGCCCCTGCCAGAAAGTGCTCCTGCCCTCCCCACCGAGGAGCAAGTCCAGAAGAGCCTGCAGGCCATGCCGGGGGCTGAGGATGGCACATCCCTCTGGGACCTGCTCAGCTCCTGCCACTTCACTGAGGAGCAACGGCGGGGCCTGCTGGAGGACGTGCAGGAGGGGAGGACCACTGTGCCACAGCTGCTAGCCTCTGTGCAGAGGTGGCTACAGGAGACTAAGCTCCTGGCCCAAGCCCACGTCGTGGTGCCCGGCCCGCGGGGTGAGATCCCCGCCGTCTGGCTGCTGGATGCTGGCATCATCACCCAGGAGACCCTTGAGGCCCTGGCTCAGGGCACGCAGTCGCCTGCCCAGGTCGCTGAGCAGCCGGCGGTGAAGGCCTGCCTGTGGGGCACAGGCTGCGTGGCTGGTGTGCTGCTGCAGCCCTCTGGGGCCAAGGTCAGTATTGCCCAGGCCGTGAGGGACGGCCTCCTGCCCACAGGCCTGGGCCAGAGGCTGCTGGAAGCCCAGGTGGCATCTGGCTTCCTTGTCGATCCCCTGAACAACCGGAGACTGTCGGTGGAGGACGCGGTTAAGGTCGGCCTGGTGGGCAGGGAGCTGAGTGAGCAGCTTGGGCAGGCCGAGAGGGCGGTGGCCGGGTACCCAGATCCCTACTCTGGGGGCTCCCTCTCTCTGTGGCAGGCCATGGAGAAGGGACTCGTGCCACAGAACGAGGGCTTGCCCCTCCTGCAGGTGCAGCTGGCCACAGGGGGTGTGGTGGACCCTGTCCACGGGGTGCACCTGCCCCAGGCAGCAGCCTGCAGACTCGGCCTTCTGGACACACAGATGAGCCAGGTGCTAACAGCAGTTGACAAGGACAACAAGTTCTTCTTTGACCCCAGTGCGCGGGACCAGGTGACCTACCAGCAGCTCAGGGAGCGCTGCGTGTGCGACTCCGAGACTGGCTTGTTGCTGCTGCCACTGCCCTCAGACACAGCACTTGAGGTGGATGACCACACTGCAGTGGCTCTTAGGGCCATGAAGGTGCCCGTCAGCACAGGGAGGTTTAAGGGGTGTAGTGTGTCGCTCTGGGACCTGCTGCTCTCCGAGTACGTCTGTGCTGACAAGCGGCGGGAGCTGGTGGCACTCTGTCGGTCTGGGAGGGCTGCAGCCCTGCGGCAGGTGGTCAGCGTGGTCACTGCCCTGGTCGAGGATGCAGAGAGGCAGCCCCAGCAGGCCACCTTCAGAGGGCTCCGGAAGCAGGTGTCAGCCAGGGACCTGTTCAGGGCACAGCTGATCAGCAGGAAGACGCTGGACGAGCTGAGCCAAGGGACGATGACGGTGAAGGAGGTGGCGGAGATGGACAGCGTGAGGCAGTTCCTGGAGGGAGGCAATTTCATTGCCGGGGTCCTTGTCCAGGGCACCCAGGAGAGGATGAGCATCCCAGAAGCCCTGCGGAGGCACATCCTGCGGCCTGGCACAGCCCTGGTACTGCTGGAGGCACAGGCAGCTACTGGCTTCATCATCGACCCCGTGGAGAACCGGAAGCTGACCGTGGAGGAGGCATTCAAAGCAGGGATGTTTGGCAAAGAAACCTACGTGAAGCTGCTGTCGGCTGAGCGCGCCGTCACCGGCTACACCGACCCCTACACCGGGCAGCAGATCTCCCTCTTCCAGGCCATGCAGAAGGGCCTCATCGTCCGGGAGCATGGCATCCGCCTGCTGGAGGCCCAGATCGCCACGGGCGGCATCATTGACCCCGTGCACAGCCACCGTGTGCCTGTGGACGTGGCCTACCGGTGTGGCTACTTTGATGAGGAGCTGAACCGCATCCTGGCAGACCCAAGCGACGACACCAAGGGCTTCTTTGACCCCAACACACACGAGAACCTCACGTACCTGCAGCTTCTGGAGCGCTGCATGGAGGATCCTGAGACTGGCCTGTATCTGCTACAAATCATAAAGAAAGGAGAAACCTACGTGCATATCAGTGAGGCCATGAGACACGAGTTGCAATCTAGAACTGTAAAAATGCGCGTGGGGAGGTTTGCTGACCAGGTGGTCTCTTTCTGGGACCTGCTGTCCTCTCCATACTTCACAGAGGACAGGAAGCGGGAGCTCATCCAGGAGTATGGAACCCAGAGTGGGGGCCTGGAGAAATTACTGGAAATCATCACCAAGACAATTGAAGAAACAGACACGCAAAACCAAGGCATCAAGGTGGCGGCCATCAGAGGGGAGGTGACAGCTGCAGAGCTGTTCAACTCCGGGGTCATCGATCAGAAGACCCTGCATACACTTCGTGTGGGGAGGACTGGGGGACAAGCACTTAGCACGCTGGAGTGTGTAAAGCCTTACCTGGAAGGCAGTGGCTACATTGCAGGGGTGATGGTGCCCTCCACCAGGGAGGTCATGAGCCTTCATGAGGCCAGCAGGAAGGAGCTCATCCCTGTAGGATTTGCAACTTGGCTGCTGGAGGCACAGGCCGCGACTGGGTTCCTCCTGGACCCCAGCACCCACCAGAGGCTCTCCGTGGACGAGGCTGTGGATGTGGGCCTGGTGAGTGAGGAGCTGCGGGAGAGGCTCCTGAAGGCCGAAAGGGCTGCCACGGGCTACAGGGATCCAGCCACGGGAGACACAATCCCACTGTTCCAGGCCATGCAGAAGCAGCTCATTGAGAAGGCAGAAGCACTGAGGTTGCTGGAGGTGCAGGTGGCCACGGGGGGTGTCATCGACCCACTGCACCACCACCGGCTCCCACTGGAAACCGCCTACAGACGTGGCTGTCTGAAAGAGGACATCTATGCGCTCATTTCTAACCAGAAGCACATGAGGAAACGGTTTGTGGACCCGAACACGCAGGAGAAGGTCTCCTATCGAGAGCTGCAGGAGAGGTGCCACCTGCAAGAGGACACTGGCTGGGTGCTCTTCCCAGTGAACAAGGATGCACGGGACTCCGAATACATAGACGACGAGACGAGAAGGGCCCTGGAGGCAGAGCAAGTGGAAATAACAGTGGGAAGGTTCAGAGGTAAGAAGCCAACACTGTGGGAACTGCTGAATTCAGAATACGTGACAGAGGAGAAGAAGCTCCAGCTGGTGAAGATGTACAGAATGGACACGAGCCAGGCACTGCGGAAGGTAGCACACCAGATCTCAGACATGATTGAGAAGCAGGAAAACAGCAACAAACAACTGTGGTTCCAAGGAATTAGAAGACAGATCACAGCCTCTGAACTCCTCAGCTCAGCCATAATCACGGAGGAAATGCTCCGGGACCTGGAAACAGGGCGGAGCACGACACAACAGCTCAGGGAGGACGACCGCATCAAGCGCTACCTGGAGGGCACCAGCTGCATTGCGGGCGTCCTGGTGCCCGCCAAGGACGAGCCCGGCCGCCAGGAGAAGATGAACATCTACCAGGCCATGTGGAAGGGCGTGCTGCGGCCCGGCACGGCCCATCTACCAGGCCATGTGGAAGAAGGGTGCTGGCAAGGCCTGCACTGCCCTGGTGCTGCTGGAGGCGCAGGCGGCCACCGCTTCGCTCACTCACTCCCGTGGCGCAACCCGAGAGGCTGTCCGCGGAGGAGGTCAGTGGCCGCGGGCGTGGTGGGCGGCGAGATCCAGGAGTAGCTGCTGTCGCCGAGCGCCGTCACCGGCTACACCGACTCCCTAAGCACCGGGCAGCAGATCTCCCTCTTCCAGGCCATGCAGAAGTGACCTCATCAACCGAGCATATGATCCGGGCCTGCTGCGCCCAGATCGCCACGGGCGCGCCATCGACCTCGCGCACAGCCACCGCGCGCCCGTGGACGCAGCTCACGGCGCCGCTACTTCGACGAGGAGAGAACCGCATCCTGGCGGACCCTTACGACGACACCAAGGGCTTCTTCACCCCAACACGCACGGCAGAACCTCACGCACGTGCAGCTGCTGCGCCGCTGCGTGCGCGACCCGGACACCGGGCTCTACATGCTGCAGCTGGCAGGCCGGGCTCCGCCGTGCACCAGCTGAGCAGGAGCTGCGCTGGGTGCCTCCTGCGGGACGCCCGTGACGCCAGGCTCGGGCGCCTCCAAGGCCAGAGCTGCCTCCGTCTGGGAGCTCCTCTTCTACCGCGAGGTGTCCGAGGACCAGCGCCAGGACCTGCTGAGCAGATACCGGGCGGGCACGCTGAGCGTGGAGGAGCTGGGCGCCACCCTCACCTCGCTGCTGGCCCAGGCCCAGGCCGAGGCCGAGGCCGGAGGCCCGCGCCCAGACTCCGGGAGGCCCTGCGTGCGGCCACCATGGAGGTCAAGGTGGGCCGCCTCCGGGCACGCGGCTCCGTGGTGGGATGCGGCTGGCGTCCGGCTACGTGAGCGGGCCGGGGAGGAGCTGCTGGCCAAGTTTGGCTCAGGACTCTGGCCTTGCTCCGCATTCGACCCGCCGCTGACCGCCATCATCGAGGAGGCCGAGGAGGCTCCCGGACCCGGCCGGGCAGCTCCAGACGCCGCGCGCGCGGCCCGCGGGAGCCAGGGCCAGCCGGGCAAGGGACGGCGAGCCGGGCGCCCCGGGCCAGGCGAGGGCCAGGGCGAGACCGAGGAGGCCGCTGCCGCCGCCCCGCCAAGAGCAGACCCCAAGTGCAGCTACCTTGATGGAGGTGCAGCGCGGCAGCCCCAGGGGCGGCCGGGTCTCCGTGGATGTCCTTCTCCTCGTGACCTGAGCGAGGCCCGCCGAGACGAGCTCCCTGGCTCCAGCACGCGGCCGCGTCCTGGGCCTGCCCGACTCAAGCCGCCGTCCCTCACCCGGGTCATCGAGGAGACCGAGGAGCGGCTCAGCAAGGTGTCCTTCCGAGGCCTGAGGCGCCAGGTGTCCGCCTCCGAGCTGCACACGCTGGGGGATCCTGGGCTCGAGACTCCCTGCGGATCTGGCCCAGGCACTAAGTCGCTGCAGGAGGTGACGGAGATGGACTCGGGTCAAGCGCTACCTGGAGGGCACCAGTTGCATCGCTGGCGCCCTGGTGCCCGCCAAGGACGAGCCCGGCCGCCAGGAGAAGATGGGCATCTACCAGGCCATGTGGAAGGATGCATGGGGCATCCGGGCACGGCCCTGGTGCTGCTGGAGGCGCAGGCGCCACCGTTTGCCACACGACCCCGTGGGCGCAACCTGGGAGGCTGTCCGTGGAGGAGGCGTGGCCGCGGCGTGGTGGGCGGCGAGATCCAGGAGAAGCTGCTGTCGGCCGAGCGCGCCGTCACCGGCTACACCGACCCCTACACCGGGCAGCAGATCTCCCTCTTCCAGGCCATGCAGAAGGACCTCATCGTCCGGGAGCACGGCATCCGCCTGCTGGAGGCCCAGATCGCCACGGGCGGCGTCATCGACCCCGTGCACAGCCACCGCGTGCCCGTGGACGTGGCCTACCGGCGCGGCTACTTCGACGAGGAGATGAACCGCGTCCTGGTGGACCCCAGCGACGACACCAAGGGCTTCTTCGACCCCAACACGCACGAGAACCTCACGTACGTGCAGCTGCTGCGCCGCTGCGTGCGCGACCCGGACACCGGGCTCTACATGCTGCAGCTGGCAGGCCGGGGCTCCGCCGTGCACCAGCTGAGCGAGGAGCTGCGCTGTGCCCTGCGGGACGCCCGTGTGACGCCAGGCTCGGGCGCCCTCCAGGGCCAGAGCGTCTCCGTCTGGGAGCTCCTCTTCTACCGCGAGGTGTCCGAGGACCAGCGCCAGGACCTGCTGAGCAGATACCGGGCGGGCACGCTGAGCGTGGAGGAGCTGGGCGCCACCCTCACCTCGCTGCTGGCCCAGGCCCAGGCCGAGGCCGAGGCCGGGAGCCCGCGCCCAGACCCCCGGGAGGCCCTGCGTGCGGCCACCATGGAGGTCAAGGTGGGCCGCCTCCGGGGGCACGCGGTGCCCGTGTGGGACGTGCTGGCGTCCGGCTACGTGAGCGGGGCCGCCCGGGAGGAGCTGCTGGCCAAGTTTGGCTCAGGGACTCTGGCCTTGCCCGCACTGACCCGCCGGCTGACCGCCATCATCGAGGAGGCCGAGGAGGCCCCCGGGACCCGGCCGCAGCTCCAGGACGCCTCGCGCGGCCCGCGGGAGCCAGGGCCAGCCGGGCAAGGGGACGGCGAGTCGGGGCGCTCCCCGGGCCAGGGCGAGGGCCAGGGCGAGACCGAGGAGGCCGCTGCCGCCGCCCCCCGCCAAGAGCAGACCCTGCGTGGTGCCACCATGGAGGTGCAGCGCGGGCAGTTCCAGGGGCGGCTGGTCTCCGTGTGGGATGTTCTCTTCTCCTCGTACCTGAGCGAGGCCCGCCGAGACGAGCTCCTGGCCCAGCACGCGGCCGGCATCCTGGGCCTGCCCGACCTCGTCGCCGTCCTCACCCGGGTCATCGAGGAGACCGAGGAGCGGCTCAGCAAGGTGTCCTTCCGAGGCCTGAGGCGCCAGGTGTCCGCCTCCGAGCTGCACACGTCTGGGATCCTGGGCCCCGAGACCCTGCGGGACCTGGCCCAGGGCACTAAGTCGCTGCAGGAGGTGACGGAGATGGACTCGGTCAAGCGCTACCTGGAGGGCACCAGCTGCATCGCGGGCGTCCTGGTGCCCGCCAAGGACGAGCCCGGCCGCCAGGAGAAGATGGGCATCTACCAGGCCATGTGGAAGGGCGTGCTGCGGCCCGGCACGGCCCTGGTGCTGCTGGAGGCGCAGGCGGCCACCGGCTTCGTCATCGACCCCGTGCGCAACCTGAGGCTGTCCGTGGAGGAGGCCGTGGCCGCGGGCGTGGTGGGCGGCGAGATCCAGGAGAAGCTGCTGTCGGCCGAGCGCGCCGTCACCGGCTACACCGACCCCT